TATATATATATATATATATATATATATGTATCTGATATAGATTTATTTCTAACTCTGAAGTCTAAGCAAACCATCTGACCTTGACTTGAAATGGCACTGAAATCAAACAACAACATTTTAAATGGAAACAAGCAAAGTCAAATAATTATATATCGAATACAGCTATATGTCCATCTTAATATCTAAACACTTCAAATACGCTTTTTAACACATTTTAATGTCTCCTACATCACATCATATACTTGCATGCAGGCTGTAAGCGAGTAAATAAACAATACCGTTCGTACAACAACGACGAAAATCAAATTTACTCAGAAATGTAAAAGCGTGGCGATGAAAATAAGACAATTTCTTACAACAATAATGATTAAGACATTTAATACTTTACACAATCTCCTGTCCAACTCCCCGGCCAGCATGCCGCAGACACACTGCTGCTGCTGAATGTCAGAAGTGCGATTATTGCAGCGCCACCTACAGCACTGGAGGCTGCAGTGCCGCGCGCTCTGCTGCCTGATGAACTTCACAAATCTGGAGGGGCAACTTCATTCAATCAGGATTACCAGAGGAACAGAGCTGTTCAATTCAGTGTGTAGCTAGTCTAAAACATGACAGAGTCTTCGCATTATTCTGCTTATTACGCGAGTTGTTACTAAATAAATAAGAGACGTGGAATACTGATTTGAGTTGAAATTATTTTATTACAGGATAAAGGAAAAACTGCAAAGATTAGAGGAGCACTGAACTCAATCCCTGATTTTCTGATTTCCCCATCCGGTCCTGATCAATTTGATACATTTATTTATGAATTTAGCCAGTCTTCGTTTTTCTTTTTAAATGTACTGTGTATGCTGCTTAGATTTATTGCGGGTCTGGATAACTGGATAATGGCAGCAAACAATGATAACGTTTGTTATTTGAAGAGATTTAATGGTTTAATGAAGCTTGTTCAAAAAAAACTTGCCAGTGTTTGTTCTGCAAAAATGACTGTATCTGACTGTAAATTATACAACGTATTACTAAGTATGGAAATGAAGTATTGATTTTTCATTAAAAAAATTTTAACCGAATAACCATCATCGTTCCTGTCTGAGACGGCACACGATTATTGAATGTCATTATTCAGAAATATTGACTACTGTAGGCCATGATTGACCAAGCAGAAATACATGTTATAAAATAAAATACAAATTAAATAAATAAATAAAAATTCATGTGAGAAAAAAAAGTCCAAATAATAGTCACGTGATAGGAATCGGTCCAATGAGAGAGTCAAAATAATAGCCACGTGATAGGAATCTGTCCAATGAGAGTTCAGTGCCATGGCCCGGAAGCGTAATCCGGTTCATGTTTTTATGCTCCTCTCCGGGTCTTTGATGTTTCTCACGACGCCGAGGCCAGCACAAAACCAGTCCTGAGCCCTCCTCCGCGAAAGATGACAGCCAGAAAGTCCGGGTCGCGATTAGAGACTGAAATAGAGCGCTGTCGATCAGAGGGACAATGGGACAAGATACCAGAACTCGTGCGGCAGCTGTCTGCGAAACTCATCTCAAACGGTGTGTGTGTTTTCTGTCTTCTGTAGCGTTACTCCTGGCTAACGCGGTAGCTCGGACAGTGTGTGTGAGTGAGTCTCAGGCCTGGTGGCAAAATCCGTATCACGTTCATTCCTGTACGTGTAACTACACATTTACAAAGCATTGAGAGAATGGTTTCTTTTCAGGGTGTCTAAAATGTGACATTAAAGCCTTTTTGGTGTTAGTCTGCTTTTCTGTCCAGTACACTTCCTGATTGTCCATACAGTTGTCTCCATTCATCTTCATAGTTTCTATAATTCATATTTGTATTAAGTCTAGTAGTTTATGGAGAGTCATTATTTGACTTATTGTCAATGTCAAAATATGGGGTTCTCTTTTGCATTAGATACACTTGAATGGTGCATATTTAAACTTCAACATTTTCATTCAAATTAAATCACACAGATAAAGAAAACTTTAAAGTAATAAATAATAGATGTATAATAAAAGATTTATAAAAAAA